ATATTACAAAATGATATCACATCTTACATATTACAAAGACAGAAATGTTATTATTAATGCACGGAAAGAAATTTTAACATGTTTCAAAGTAGAAAGTATGCTAAAAAAAGTAATAACTGCCTTAAGTTAAACATACACCATGAATTTAATGCTGCCATTTTTGTAGTTGACAACGAAAAAAAAGTAGCGCGAAAGAAAGTAAGTGGAAATCAAAACAGCGTTTCGTTATAGCGAAAAAGTTCGCTTCGCGCGAATATTTCGTCTTGTGGAAAACGGCCTTGAATCCGACTTTTTTTTTCGCTGCAGCGAAACGCTGTAGCGAAAAAAAATCAGTATAATCGCCAAAAATGTTTAATCTGCGCATGCTTAACGACGAAAAAATTCGCTTCGCGCGAATTTTTCGTCTTGTGGAAAACGGCTTTTAATTTCCAAAAATGTTTAATCTGCGCGTGCTTATCGACGAAAAAAGTTACTTCGCGCGAATATTTCGTCTGGCCTTAAGAGCTGTTTCGCAAGTTGCGGTGCAAAATAATTTCGTTTCGAAAGAAATTTGGTTTTTCATTACTATTTAAAAAACTTGAACTTTAAAATGCTACTATGTTACAATATTGTAAATAAAGTTTATAATAAACATTTTGGTACATAAATTTTTTATTTTTTTACAATTATATCCGCGTTTGGCCAACAAACTTTCTTTATAGACTAAAAACGTCGTTTAGCGTAAGAACTCGTCTCGCAAGTGCGACTTCCGGTTTTCGGTTTCGCAAAATTCGGTACGAAAAAAAAACGTTCCTAATTCTCAATATCCTTCTGAAAGAATTTTATTTTTCCGGAATTGTACGAAATCTTACGGTTAACAACTCTAAGCCTCACACAATTTTTTACATTTTTCAAGTCTATCATTTTTATATATTTTTGATTTATGTACTTAAAAGTAATTTTTATTAAAGAAATGGGTAACTTTTAGACAAATAAAAAGCATTTAACAAATTAGTAATGAATTTAATTATTTAAAAGTTACTAAACATTTAATATCAATATTTGTGATTCTTCTTTTTGCTTCAATAATACCAAGAAACCTTTTCGGCATACTTTTGATGCACTTTTCAGCCATTTCCTGGAATCTTTCATTATGGCTCTAGTGGTAAACAATTATTTCTATTAAAGAGCCCTTTATTTATAATATTTTCTTTGTTATTAATATTTGTGATATTTTTTATAGGATTTAGATCAGGAGAGTTTTCTGGCCAATCAAGGCCAAATCATTTGATTGAAATGATTCAAATTTTGAATTAGTTTTACCAATTTCCTACCATCTGTCAAATTCCTGTACTTTTTTGCCCACTCCAGCTTTTTTTGCATCATTTTTGATTTCAGTTTAGGCTTCTTAGCTGGACGTCGTGAAATGCAACCAAAATCGTGCAGGCGACGTTGAACTGCTCTGGTTGACATTTTGACTCTAACACCTTGACGATATATGATATGAGCAGCCGTGGCGCAGTGGTTAGAGTTCTGGCTCAGAATCCAGAGGTCCGAGGTTCGACGCCATCTCTAGCCCAACAAGCGACATTGGTACGGAAGGAGGCGTGAACTTCCTGTTAAATGCTCTCCCACGGTGCTCTATGATAAGACCGCAAGGACTTCTGGGAGCACCTAAATACATACAAAAAATATATATATATATATATATATACATATACATATATATATATATATATATATATATATATATATATATATATATATATATATATATATATATATATATATATATATATATATATATATATATATATATATATATATATATATATATATATATATACGATAATATCTTAAATTTTCTTAGTTGCTTCTATTTATCTAATAATGCATTTTAATATATATAAATTTTAATTGTTATTATTTAATATTACTTCGAAAATACTTATATGAAAAAACGTTTAAATATTTAGTTTTTTGCTGTCACAATATGTTGGTATAGAGTTGTGAATAATCAATTCCATGTACTGGCGCGGTTAACATGGTTTGAGGGTACCAATATTTTTAAGGTTGCAAAATTTAGGATTTTGATATATTTTGTATTTTAAGAGAACTTGTTTTTGTATTTTGATGTATATGAAAGTTCTTTTATATGCTTTAACTATTATTGTCGTTTAGTTATAACTATATTTATTTATTATTTATATTTTTTATAGTTTGACACAACAACAATAATCGATACGCATGTAAATTGACTGATATGGCCGTAGTCGCAGGTAGTTACATACATCAACTGAGTGTTATAGATATTGAGGAAGTGGAGTGTATATATATTCCGTTTTGCACTCCTATAGTTTAATATAAACTTGTATAAATGAATAATGACTAAACGGACAAATGATCTCCGTGATAAATTTAATTTTTAATGAAGATATTACTTAAATAACTTCTTTAGCAATAAGCTAGTGGCGCGGTTTGAGTGGTTCCAAAAATAACTTTTTTTAAAAATGACTACTGGCACCCCTGAATATATTGTATATAATAAAAAAATGCTGGATTTAAAAATTTTTTGAATAAAAATTATTTTAAGGGGTTGTTACCGACCCTCGAACATTAAATAGGTCACTAATATTATTTAAAAAAGTTTTTCAAAAGTATGTCATGTTTCAAACGAAGCGAAATTATATAAAAATTTCAAAAATATTTATCATTTTATAATTACATTTTTATTTTAGTGAATAGAAAATTACGTTTTTTAACTAATAATGAAAAATAGGGAATTTAACAAGGTTTTTTGATTATAATTTTTTATTATTATTAACTATTACTGTTGTTCAATAAATATTATATTATCATTTTAATTTAATAGATATGTGTTTATTATTTTTGATTATTATTATTATAGTTGTAGCCGTAAATTTACATAGAATGTACACATACAGCGAGCAGGGAAAACACCCCACTATAAACAACAAATTTTATAAATATTTGTTCCAAACTTATTCCACAACCAGGAGTCTAGTCTATTTTTGAAGGAAAGTACAGTGGAGTACAAAGTTATTTGCTCTGGTAATTCGTTCCAGTATTTTGCTGATCTATTATACAAATGATTATATCTTGGAAGACAGTTTGGAACATACTCACGCCTTATTTTAGAATGGTGACCACGAGACATGGAGTTAATATATTTTGGTAGATATTTATCATTAACTATATCAAAACGATGTATTAATTTAAAAATTTGTATTAAATTGCATCGAAGGCGTCGAAACTCAAGTGATGGTAGATTTAATCTTTTTAGCCTTTTGCAGTATTGAAGATGCCTCAAGCTGTAAACCCATTTTGTTGCTTTGCGTTTAGATAAGGAGCCCAAATGGACACTCCATATTTAAGATGTGGTCTTATAAATACTTTATATAATTTGAGAGCCATTTTTTCATGAATGAAAATGTCTTTTTCAGCATACCAAGAATTTGTAAGGACTTAGAGACAACTGTTTGAATATGAGCGCTCCACTTGAGGTTAGATGTAAAAATGACTCCTAAATCACGTTCTTTAGTAGAGCTTCTTAGACATTGGTTGATTACTTGGTTATTTTGCAGAAAGTAATTGTAATGGGGGTTGTTTCAACCGTAATGAATGACGCAGCATTTTGAGGTGTTTAACTTAAGTAACCAAGTGTTTGACCACTCGTATACCAAGCGTAGACGATCCTGCAGATCAACAAAATTAGATTGCGATAAGGTTTTAGAAAAAAGTTTAGTATCATCGGCAAATATCTCAGAAGTTTCAGTGAGTTTTTCAAGATCATTTGTGTAGAGAATGAAGAGGAACGGGCCGAGAACAGAACCTTGAGGAACACTACTGAGAACATCAACCCATACAGAGTTGGTATTGTTAATTGTAACGCGTTGTTTTCTGCCCACTTAAAAGGATTTAATATATTGTAGGAGTTTGCCGTTTATTCCGAAAGATCTTAATTTTAACAAAAGTCTGTTGTGAGGTACAGAATCAAACGCTTTGGCAAAGTCAAGATAGATTACATTAATAAATTGGTGGGATGCTATGGAGGACGAAATGATATCAAAAGTTTCTATTAGGTTAGTTACGCATGATTTATGATAAAGGAAGCCATGTTGATTTGCAGAGAGCATCTTATTACCGTTAATGTGCTTTAAAATTTTGTTCTTTACAAGTTTTTCGAAGATTTTACAGGCAACAGATGTTAGTGAAATAGGTCTATAGTTTTCAGCAAGTAATTTATCTCCCTTTTTTTTATAGATCGACTAATATTTGCTAATTTCCATTGACTGGGTACTACTTCAGAATTAAAGGATTCATGAAAGATTTTTGTTAATGGAATTGCAAAGCTTTTGGCACATATTTTGAGTATTAAGGGATGCATCGGCAAGTTCCTGAATAATATCTGGGATAGAGAAATCCAGGTTTTCATTATAAATGCATTCAGAATGAATACCACTTTTATTTAGCAAAGGAAAATTTTCAGAGCTTTCAAATGTAAACATAGATTCAAATTGAGAGTTCAGAAGATCAACTATATCAGGAAGAGCTTCAATAATTCTGCCAGAAGTATCTTTGAGAGAGCGAATTCCATCTTTAATTTTAAGTTGTTTGTTGATATATTTGTAAACGAGTTTTGGGTTGTTTTGGGATTTTGATATTATTTCTTTTCATGTGCTTTTTTTGCTTTAAATATTTCAGCTTTTACTGAACGATTAAGTCGATTGTATTTTAATATTATTTATTCATTGATGATATATCGGTTATATTATTGACTCGTAAAGCCGTAGACGTAAAGTCTATTTAAAAAGTCAATTCCAAATTATGTTAAATTGGAATAGCGACAGTCAAGCTTAGCACTCTTAATCAATAAAAAAAATTAAATTAAAAAAATGTTACGTCACAAAACGCAAGTATTTGCCATTACCAATAAATTTAAGGTCAAATTATTTTCCCAGGAAAATCACAAAACAAACGCGTAAAAAAACCATATCAAATAAATTTGATATAATATTTTAAATGTTATGTATCTTTAATATATTTATAACGTTTACATTTTTCACTCACGTAGTCTTTACATTTTTTATAATTCAGTAATCATGATACGTCTCGCCTCCATGCCTACTTGTTTATTTCTTAGTTTTAAAATTCAAAGTCACGACAGGTCGTGATCTCGGTGTCTTGGAACTTTTGAGTCTTTATCTTTGCTTTATAATCAAAATCTTTTGTCTTACTTTTTAAATTTTACGTCTTGAGAAAAGCATACATTCTAAAAAAAAGAGATAAATAAATATCAACGTTATTCTTAACCAAGTAGAAACATAAATCGAAAATATATATTTTATAAAAGAAGTAGACATAATTGTGAATAGAAAGATTGAAACACATCAACATTGAACACAGCAACTACTCTTAAGTAAACGGTTTGCAAATGTATTAAACTTTATATCTTTTATATACATTAGATGCCTTTTATGTAATTTAAAAAATGGTTTTAGGAAAAATAAAAATGCAGACATTTATCATTTATTTCAAATTAGCAGCCATCTTCAGCACCCTCATTGATAAAAAAGAAACTTCAAATAAACACATTCAGTCCTTTATTCAAATATTTAGGATACAAAGCATTTAATAATATAATAAAAGAAAATAAGTCTTATGCCTTAGAGGTAAAACAATATTATTAAAGTGACAAGTCTTAATAACTTAAGATGTAACATGTAAATGTAATAGGAAGCCAATAATAAAGCAAATGTTAATAGTTAATTGATGAAACAAAATGTTAAAATATGCAAACTTAACAGTAAAAGTTTGAAAAAAAAAGTAAATATTCTAATTATTAAACTTTTGTTTATACAAAAAACCTTTAATAAAACCTGAACAATACAACTCAGTATGTTCTCAACAAAAAATCCGAAAAATACCAGGATGCTTGTGTCTTTAAAACTGTAAAGTCTTATCTTTTTATTTGGTATATGATATATAAGTGGTAAGGGTTTCAATTTATATCGACATCATTAAGGGAATTATAAAGCAAGATCGATATTTTAAGTTTCAGAACATCAATTGCACATGTAAAGCTTGTAAACCTTGGATGGTAATTAGGGTAGTGCTAAAAACAACTTTTTTTGAAAATGTCTGTTGACACCCCCTAAACGTGTTCTATCTAATACAAAAACACTAAGTTATAATTTTTTTTTGAATAAAAAATATTTTTAGGGGTGCCCCATGACCCTCGAAAATTTAATGGGTCCCTAATATTTTCAAAAAAAAAGTTCTTCAAAAATATGTCAACCTGGTACTCAAATGAAGCGAAATTGTATAAAAATTTCAAAAATAATGTTCATTTTGAAAGAAATTAAACTTATTTATCAAAACTATAAAATAAATCATAAAAAAATGCATTTTTTTCTTTTTATGTTAAAAAACGCAATTTTTTATGTAATAAAACAAAAAATAACAATTTTTTTTGAAATGAAAATTATTTTTGAAATTTTTATACAATTTCGCTTCATTTGAGTACCAGGTTGACATATTTTTGAAAAACTTTTTTTTGGAAAATATTAGGGACCTATTAAATTTTCGAGGGTCATGGGGCACCCCTTAAAATATTTTTTATTCAAAAAAAATTTTAACTTAGTGTTTTTGAAATAAATTAAATTTGCAACAGTGGAAAAATACCACTGATGTTATAAATTGGTTCTCCATAATCAAAAATAAAGAAACTGTACATTTATTCAATTTGACATTAATGAATTTTACCCTTCAATAACTGCAGAAATTTTAAATAAAACAATCGAATTCGCAAAAAGCCACACAGTTATTCCTGAAGAAACAATCCGTATAATAAATCATTGTAGAAAAACCTTACTTTACTTTAATAAGGAAACTTGGAAAAAGAAAAATTGTAAAAAAACCTTACTTTACTTTGTAGAAAAACCTTACTTTACTTTAAAAAGGAAACTTGGAAAAAGAAAAACATACATGACTGCTTTGATGTGACAATGGGCAGTTATGACGGAGCAGAAATGTGTGAGTTTGTTGGACTATACACTTTAGATTTATTAAGTAAAATAATCAATATAAATGATTTAGGCCTTTATCGCGACGATGGTTTAATAGTAATGCGTAAAAATTCTGGTCCACAGCTCAATAAGATTTGAAAAGATATTATAAAAATTTTTAAAAATATTGGCTTTCAAATTGAAATAAACATAAATTTAAAAATTGTGAACTTTCTTGATGTCACATTTAACCTCTCTGAAAGTTCATATAAGCCTTTCAAAAAACCAAACGATGAATTATTGTATATTAATATTAACTCAAATCATCCACCACAAATTCTAAAACAAATCCCGATTTCAATTAATAACAGGTTAAACCAAATCTCCTCTAATGAAAATGTATTTAATTCCTCCAAACGAATATTTGAAGATGCCCTTTAAAAAAGTGGTTTTGAAAATTTTGAACTAAAATTTGACCCTGATAAAAAGAATACAAAAAAACGGAACAGAACTAGAAATGTAATTTTGTTCAACCCCCCATATTGCAAAAATGTTTCTACTAACATAGGAAAAGTGTTTTTAAAATTGGTCGATAAGCATTTCCCTCCCTCTAATAAATTACATAAAATTTTTAATCGAAATACAATTAAAGTTAGCTACAGTTGCACAAAAAATATGGAAAGAATTATAAAAAGTCACAATAATGCTTTGTTAAATAAAAAAGAAATCCTAAATGAAAAAACTACAGAAAATTGTAATTGTAAACAAAAAAACAATTGTTTAATGAGTGGAAGTTGTTTATCAAAAAATGTGGTATATAAATGTGTTGTTTCCTCTAAGAATGTACCTGATAAACAATATATTGGCATAACAGAGGGTGAATGGAAAAAACGTGTTGCCAATCATAAGCAATTTTTTAAAAATAAAAAGTATTCAAAAGACACCATGCTGTCAAAATATATATGGGAACTAAAAGATAAAAATATTGATGATTTTATACTGAATTGGTCCATCCTTAAAACAGCGCCTGCATACAACAATATTTCCAAAAAATGCATACTATGTCTACAAGAAAAATTTCAAACAATTACACACGCAAACCAAGAATGTTTGTTAAACAAAAAATCGGAATTGATTTCTAAATGCAGGCACGAAAATAAGTTTCTCCTAAAAAACTATAAAAATAAGTGAGCTCAAATAATAGTTACATTAAATCCCCCCTTTTTTAAAAATATTTTTACAGAAAAAAAAAAAAAAAAAAGCATAAGTAATCATTTCTAAAGAATTCTTTTTATAATAGTGTCAGCAAATTCCACAAATGTGTGAAAATTTACAGTAGTTAAAACATTTGCGACTTCCTGTAATTTAATTTTTTGGTATAAATTGAAGTTTTATTTATTTGATCATTCATTTCTGATGAGTCTTTGTTGATGAAACACAGTGTAAAGTGAAAAAAATTTTTGTTAAGTGATTTTCTACTAATTTATATATATATATATATATATATATATATATATATATATATATATATATATATATATATATATATATATATATATATATATATATATATATATATATATATGTATATATATATATATATATATATATATATATATATATATATATATATATATATATATATATATATATATATATATATATATATATATATATATATATATATATATGTATATATATATATATAAAATATGTTTCAACAAAATTTGGAATTTATCGAAAAACTTCCACACACATCCCCTCCCCTAAGATTAAAATGTGTACTAGGAATGTGTGGGGTCCTTTTCTTATATTCTTTCTTCTCCTACTCCACATTAGTGCTGCATACATTGATTGGACAGTGCCAAAAATAAAACAAAATACCGTCTGTAACATTTATTGAAGATGAATATGAAATCAACACAAAATTAAATGTAGTTTCACGATAACTAGGCAAATTAAGCTCAAATTTCCAAAAAAATATTCAGAATTATATATTTTTATAATGTAAAATAATCAGTGTGTATGAATTGATTATTATTAAGAATAATATATTTAATTTACTTTTAATTTTAATACATCGTTACTGCTTTCATGTTAAGAGAATTCTTTTGATTATAAATAAAAAAATAAAAAAGGTTTTAAAAATAGTAAACACAAGCTTGTAAACTTCTTATTTCACATTTATTGTAAGTTCAATTTTATAATTAATATTAACTTTCTTTATACATAAATGGCATAACAAAATAAAGTTACAATTATAAAGTCTCAGCAAAAAATAACAACAAAAGACGTTTAATTACAAAATAATTACAAAAGATCTTGCAAAGATTGCACAACGAAGTATACCAATAATTATTTTTTCATACATATTCATAAAATGTTATTATGACTATGGTTCATTAAAACATTTAAATTTGCTTTTATGTTTTAAATTCAAGCAAGCAGTGAATCTAGTTTTCTTGTTTTTCAAATTTGTAATACCAGTTTGTTGTAATAAAAAAAACAGTTATTAAAGGTATTTAATTTAGTTTTAATATGCGTATTTAATTTTTGTTTTAAATACAAGCAACAAATAAAGTAAAGAAATTTATTTTCCTCATTAATTAAATTTCTAAAACCAGTTTATTATAATCAAACAACATTTAACGATAATAGAAACTGATTTGATATTTATTTTGGACCTATTAGGATTAAGTTTTAAAGATTTGTTTCTAAAATTTGTTTACGATTAAAAATAGGCAGAAAAAATACTTTCATCAGAGTATAATAACTTATAAATTATATTTGAACTTAGTCAGTATTTAATTAAAATTAACTTTATTGGCACCAAAAGGCCCGCAAAGACAAGTTCAGCTCTCCTGGGAGCATCATTACCTGCTCTACAGCCCAAGAGTAAGTGATTTTTGGAAGAACGAAGGTATGTTAGAGTGAAAGACAGATTTAGTCGAGTTAGAAAGATGGCATAGAGAAAGCGGACAGGATTGCACACGATATTAGAAGGCGCAGTTACTTACAAGTGCAAGAAAATAAAATTCCTATTTTAGAACTCAGCTTTATCAAGTCACAGAGAGATAAAGCTGGTAGTTTTGCACTTTATCATGCTGGTGGTGTTGACATAAAAGTGTCAATATAAATAAACTGCGAATTAGAGGAGAGAGCAAAGATATGTAAAATAAAATAAAAGAATCAATCAAAAAATTCAGCAAAATTATAATTTCTTAGCTCAGGTTGGCAATTACTAATAGAATATGATAGAGTATATAAGATTGCATTGATATGCAATCTTACATCTGTTGCTAATAAAGATTTTATTAATAGCCTCATGGTTGTTCTGCAATGGAGTTCTCATACACAATCAGTTAAGAGGTGTGTAAAGATGGTTAGAGAAGCTGCAGGGCATGTCCACACAGTAGAAAGAAGGGAAACTTACACTAGAGCTCAATTCATAAGTAGAGAGTTGATGTTTTTCATAGAAATAATAAAGAACTTATGTTTGTGTATGTATCTTATGTATAAGTTAACTAAATAAATAAAAAATACTACTAAATTAAATGTCATATTAAGTATATAATTATATTTTAAATATTCAAACAATAATAAAACCTTACATTTTTTAAAACGCAACTATAAAAGTTCATTTTAACTATAACATATAAGTCTAATCATCTCTTTTTTGATCCTAGGATCAAAAAAGAGATGATTAGACTTATATGTTATAGTTAAAATGAACTTTTATAGTTGCGTTTTAAAAAATGTAAGGTTTTATTATTGTTTGAATATTTAAAATATAATTATATACTTAATATGACATTTAATTTAGTAGTATTTTTTATTTATTTAGTTAACTTATACATAAGATACATACACAAACATAAGTTCTTTATTATTTCTATGAAATAATTTTAATCAACGTTAATTAAAGTTATATATTACAAAAATAAATTATAGAATACTCACACATTTCTGTAGTCACGACAGGCTATAGATAGATAGAAATTGTAAGCATAAGTACATCTAACGTATATTTAGAGTGTTTAAATTTCAAATGTTTATTCCCTATTTCGCCATATCCCAGGGTTAATTTGTATCGAAATAGATTTAACCCGGAGATGAAATTTCTTGAAACGTGAGTTTCTTTTTTTGAAAAGTCAATTCGTTTCGCAATTCAAAGAATATATCATGAGCAAAATTATAACATATCTAATAACCTGTACGTCATCATTAGTGACAGAATCAAGAACTTTTCTATTTTGATATCCATATTAGCTCGCTTAAGGAGCAGGGACGCGACTCCCTGAATAGATTCCGCATAGCGGAGCTCTACTTGCTACTCCCTTGGTTTGTGTTTCGGATTTAAGTATGTTATGCATCGAGCATATTAATAGTCATATTGTTTACTGTATTCTTTTGCTTGTGGTTTTTAAATATAAAGTTAAATACGTTTTTTAAATTTTTAAATATGAATTTTAATATGATTATTAATGAATTTAATATTTAAAACAGGGACGACTTAGTACAAATTTCATAAGAGCGAACTGAAATAACGTAAGTGCCAACTGGTGTAAGTACAAATTTGCATAAGTGCAAACAGGCATAAATGCTTAGCAGTTGTAAAAACTGGCATAAGTACGAGTTGGCATAAACACTTCAAAAGAATTTTTAAACGTTGACATTAGCCCGAACAATAACGTTGACATAAGCCCGAAATAAATGCGACTGTCATAAGTGCGAGTCAGTAGCAAAAACTGGCACAAGTACAAGTTGGTATGAGTGCGTTAAAAGAGTTTGCAAATATTTGCATAAATGTAAATTAGCATAAGCGCAAACTAGCAAAATACGAAGCAGTTGCAAAAACTGGCTTAAGTGAGAATCGGCATAAATCCAAACTGGCAAAAGTGCGCCGAGAGATTTGCAAACATTGGCATAAGTACGAACTGGCATAGGGTAAAATACCCAGTAATCGCCATGCGACCTAGTCTTTGCCACTTGTTCACTAAAAAACATGCAGAGCTAAAACTAATTGCTGGAAAATGTCAAAACCGAATCTAAAAAAACCAGATCATCTCTTTTTAACTGACGAAAATTCGACGATAGTAGCTTTAAAAATAAAGATACAAGATCTATAGCAAAAAAAAGTTTGCCCAAAAATCCTTAATGTCTAATGACAAATTTTAGATAAGCTTTACGATAATTACTCAAAAAACATTATTTATGATTTTTTTGCATTTTTTTTTTTTCTCAGACTGATATTAAGATGTGTGGCCGTGGCGCAGTGGTTAGAACGCTTGCTTTATAAGATCCAGGTTCGAAACGAGCTCTGGAAATTTTCAAATCAGCCAATAACGCTTTTCAAATCAGCCAATAACGCTTTTCAAATCAGCCAATAACGCTTTACTTGATAACTTTTACGACCCAGATTTGCATTTTTTTAATGAAAATAATTTTAACTTGCGGTTTTTTGATTTAAAAACTTTTAAAAATGAATTAAAATCATTAAATAATAACTTTACGGTTATACACATAAACATAAGAAGTATAATTAACAATATTGAGAAGCTAAAACATTTTCTTGTAGAATGTAATTTTTTGTTCAGTATGATTTGTTTAACAGAAACCTGGTGTTCTGACGAATCATCCAGAATAAATTCAAACTTATTAATTCCGAACTACAAACTAATATCTTACGAGCGAAAAGTTCAAAAACGAGGTGGTGGAATTATGACATATATTCATAATGATCTGACAACTAAAGTTAGAGACGATCTTTCTGTTTCTGATGCCGATGGTGAGGTCTTTACAATTGAAATAATAAACCAAAAGTTAAAAAATATACTGGTGCCCACCTGTTACAGACCACCTGAAGGTGATATAAAAAAATTTTCTAATCATCTAAAACAAATATTTCTAAAAAACAATAAAGAGCACAAAATATTATTCTGTATTGGAGACATTAACATAAACTGTTTACAGTACAATGAAGATGCTGTTACCAAAATTTTTTTTGATGATATGTTTCAACACTACATCTTCCCTATAATAAACAAACCCACCCGGGTAACATCAACTTCAATCACTGCAATAGATAACATATTGACTAATTCATTTTATGATTCTTCATTAAAAGCAGGTGTAATCAAAACGGATATATCCGATCACTTTCCGATATACTTTTCTTTGTTTCAAGATACAAAAACAAACAACTCAAAAACCAAAGTCTATAAACGAAAAATTAATAAATTTACTATTCAACAGTTTAAAGACTCACTATCGGCAGTGAGATGGGATAAGATTTACCAAAAATGCAACCTTGGGCACACCAACTCTGCTTATAATGAGTTTTTAGAAATATTCTTAAAGCATTATAATAATCACTTCCCAATTATAGAACAACAATTAAAAGTAAAATACTTACAATGTCCATGGATTACTAGAGGTATAAAAAAATCTTCAAAAAAAAAGCAAAAACTTTACATCAAATATTTAAAAAATAGAAATGAAAAAAACCTAAATACCTACAAGCAATACAAAAATTTATTTGAAAAAATTAAAAAAAATTCAAAAAAAAACTACTACTCGAAGCAAATAAAAAATGCAACTGGTGACATTAAAAAAACACGGAACATTATAAAAGAAATAATTGGGAACAAAAAAACTAAATCAAATAATTTGCCTGCTCGAATTATCATAGACAATATAGAGTACAGTGACAAAAATAAAATTGCTGAAAAATTCAATGAATTTTTTGTTAACATTGGCCCAAATCTTGCCTCAAAAATTGAATATCCTAATAACTTGTTTGAATTATATCTAAATGATCCCCAGAGCGAACTAAAATACAAAGAACTAAGCTATCAAGAGCTTAACGTTGCACTAAACTCCTTAAAATTAAATAAAACTCCAGGAATAGACGATATCTGTAGTAGGATAGTGGCAAATGTCTTTACAGTGATAAATAAACCTATATTTGAAATCTTCAAGTCTTCGATTAAAACAGGAGTTGTACCAGACAAGTTAAAAGTAGCTAAAGTAGTACCAATATTTAAAACAGGTGAATCATACTTAATTAATAACTATAGACCTATCTCGGTACTCCCTACCTTCTCTAAGCTTCTCGAACGAGTAATCTACAACAGATTGTACGAGTATTTAATCCAAAATAAAATCCTAAATAAAAAACAATTTGGCTTCCAAAAACAATATTCGACTGAACACGCAATCCTAGATCTAATTAATAGTATAAGTGATTCTTTTGATAAAAAACAATATGTTCTGGGGATCTTTATAGACCTGTCAAAAGCCTTTGACACAGTAAATCATAACATCTTACTTAAAAAAATGGAAAGCTATGGAGTAAAAAACATCACTCTTGACTGGTTCAAAAACTACCTAAGCAATAGGCAACAATGTGTTATTTCAGACAATTATAAAAACTCAAAACTACTAAGAATAGAGTGCGGTGTCCCCCAAGGTTCCATTCTTGGACCCCTTCTGTTTCTTCTATATATTAACGACCTTACAAAAACCTCAAAAAAACCTGATGTTATAATGTTTGCCGACGACACAAATTTATTTTATTCCTCGAACTCAATCAAAAACCTTTATGAATGTATGAACAAAGAGCTTGAAAAATTAAACATCTGGTTGAAATTAAATAAGTTATCACTAAATACAGAAAAAACAAAATATATATTGTTTCATTCCAAAAAACAAAAAAATAATATACCAACTATACTTCCCCCACTAAAAATAGATAAGGTAAACATTAAAAGAACAGAAACAACAAAATTTCTTGGGATACTTATTGACGAAAATATAACTTGGAGAGCCCATATTAGTACAATAAACACCAAAATTTCAAAAAATATTGGGATACTTTACAAAGTTAAACCTATGTTGTCCCAAGATAATCTTAAATCTCTTTATTTTTCTTACATCCAAAGTTATCTTACGTACGCTAATATTGCATGGGCAAGTACACACAAATCCAAGTTAAATACTCTTTATTTAAGTCAAAAACATGCATCAAGATTAGTTTATAATAAATATAAACTCACCCATGCTGAACCTTTACTAAAAACCCTAAATGCACTGAATGTTTACCAAATCAACATCTATCAAAATATTCTTTTCATGCTTAAATACAATCTTGGACTAGTCCCATCGCATTTTTTAGATAACTTTTTTCAAATTAACTCTAATAGATATACCACAAAAGCAACAGGGAACTTCACATTACCAAAAAAAACAACAAAGTTCTCACGATTCTCTATTTCCTACCGGGGTCCGTACCTATATAACAAAATAATATCCGAAAATATAGAACTTAAAGCATTAAATAATTCTGCCACCTTGAAAAAAAAATTAAAACACCTCATACTTAATATCAAAAATTTTATTGACATGTATTAAACTTAACAACAAGATTTATACTAAAATGTTTATGTGTATCACTGACTGTGTATTGTTTAACCACTTTTAACTATATATAAAAATTAATTAAATTTATTTAACCATTTGAAAAGGTACTTGATGATAAGACTTCATAGTCTTCTGCGAGTCTCCTTTACAACAACATGTTTATATTTGAAGAAACAATAGTTTTTATTTAAAAAAAAAAACAGTGTTTATTAATCTAACGTTATATTTTATTATAATTGTTAAATTACGTATTCTTATGTTATGTTATATATTTTACTCTTTGCATTAAATTATATGATAGAATTGTAACGTAATGAAGTGTATATTGAAGTTGTAAAAAAAAAAAAAAAAAAAAAAAAAAAAAAAAAAAAAAAAAAAAAAAAAAAATTTTCGCATCACGGTAAGAACTTCCTGTTTAAATGCACTTCTGCGGTGCTCAGTTACAAGACCGTTAGGGTTTCTTGGGGCACCTAAATAATATTAAAAAAAAAAAAAAGATGTAGAAATATATTATAAACAAAGAATTAATGGATGAATTTTAAAGGGTTGGCGTGGGGTGGTGGTGGCGAACACTGGAAGCAAAATAACCCCCTAGCTAGTAATTGCCATAAAAAAAAAAATAAAAAAGTTGAACTTTTTTTTTCTTAATTTTAAATATGAACACTTGCACACTTGTCAGTATGGCTATGGCTTAATTTTATTTAAAAGTAATCATGTAATAAGCAGTTAAATATTTTCCAGTCTTCGCAAAACTCACTTTCTAGTAGTTGCTGCTTTTGATAATTTATTTTTTTAACTTTTTATAAACCTTTTTGTCTTTTTCAAAACAAATATGAATAATTATATTTTAGCTTAAATACTTTTTCCAGTTATATCATTAAATAAGATGAAACTTTTCAGCTTATAGAAACAGTTATTCGGCTTTCTACCGAAGAGTTTATTTTTCCACCTTTTTTTCAGATAATTTTTTTTTATATTTATGATAGAGGATTTCACGCTAATAACATTAAAAAATGATGTAATTTATAACAAAAACA